TTTTTTCCTTTATAAATCATATCATGTCAGTATGGTTAACACTTTAAAATATCTATCCCTTCTATTCACCAAAATTAAATACTTACCCAAAATATTTATTCAATAAAATCAAAACCCAATGTGTCATACCAAATAATATAGATAATAAAATGGAATTTAGTTCCTAAAGTACTATATACCTACTGCAGGTTAGATGTACGTATTTATTTAATTGTATATAACCCATGATACTAAAATACTACTGTTACTATACAGTCATTACTATAATAATGTATATTTTACCTATTTAGGAACATTATTTACAAACTATTTTGGAGATTCCATTCAAAATCAGAATCGTAATTATTTTTGAAAACACAAACTATAATTTAGGATAATTCATTCATAGATATTAATACAGTATGTATTGTATTTATTGTATAGGTACAATTCTATGGTAATATTTTAAAATGAATACAAATGTAATGGATTACCGAAAAACGTTTGCAAGTGGGTGAACAGACGCCATTGAAATCCTCAAAGTTGGAGCAACAAACGTAGTTCAAAACTCTACAATAGTTTAAAAAACGATAATAAATGTAAAGAAAGTTGAGTAAAAGTGCACCAAAAATATAATAATTAATATTTTAACTAGGTTACAGCGTAGAAGTATAACATCGGTTAACAATAACGATAATATATTATTATGTATTATAACAAACAACCAAATCAATTTAAGTGTTGGATTATATTATGTAACGTATCATTAAAAAATTAAAAGATAATTTTTATATGAACCGTAGAATAACAGAAGTAACCTAAAGAGCATCTAAACCATAAATAAGTAAACACAGGAATGGTGATACCACAGAATAGATTAATATTATCACAGAATAAATGTATAGATTTAATCTATTCTGTGGTACAACTGTCCCATATAGTTATTGCGGTTTATGACAGTTATATAAATTATACTGTCAGTACTCAAACATTTTCATACATTTTTTCAGTAAACCTATTTGCATCTAATTATTTTACATGTAATATAAAAAATGGAATTCAACTGTGATATTTGTAAGGGTAAATTTTCCACAAAGTTTACACTTACAAGGCACATGAAAAATAAACATGATATAAAGAATGAACTAAAAAAAAAATCGTCTAAATGCATTTCTTGTCCAAATCAAACATTTTCTAAAAAGGTATTATTAATTGATCATTTAAATGTTCATCATGGAGCGTGTATTGAAAAAGAAATTTATAATTTTTCAAATGTATCTGGTACGTATGATGATTTATTTAAAAAATATTTTTATTTATCATTTTCATAGTAAATAATTTATTACATTATAGAATTTAACAACTGGTTAAAAGAATATGAACTGAAATATAAATGTGAATATGTTCTTCTAACGGGGAAAAAAAAATGTAAAGATGGTCATAGAAGTTACTATGAGTGTGGTCGAACAGGTGTACATAAAGAAGTCGACAGTTCTAAAAGATTAAAAAAATCCCAAGGAAGTAAAAAACTTAATATTAGCTGTACAAGTCATATCATATTATTTGAATATTTCAATAAAAGTAGTTGTGATATAATTTTTTATAAACATCACTATGGCCACCAAGAAAATCAACTACGCATTAATTTGCCAAGTACAAGAAAGCATGAAATAGTCAAATTATCGCAAGGGATGACAATGGATAGAATATTGGATGATTTCAGAAGCAATATAGGGAATGATTTAAAAAGGGAAGACCTAGGTACACGAGTCGATTTGCATAATATTAAACAAAAGTACAATGTCATGCAGAATAGTAAATTACACAAAAGTGATACCACAATACATAACAATAAAAAAGCCCTAAATATGCAAGAACAATTTAAAGAAAAAGCTATTAGCCTTGCCAACAAAATAAACAATTTAAAAAATAATGGACATCTTAAAGTAGCATTAAAAAAACTAAATTCTATTGAAGCATTCATTGATGCTACATTAAATAATGATGAATTGCCAAACAATTTCAATAAAAAACTTAATGAACCACCAAATAAAACATTAAATTACAAGAAATGTTCTTCTCTACAAAAAAATATGAAACAAGAAAAAGTCAATGTATTAGTGAAACCATCTCAAGTTGAAACTGAACATTTCGACAATGTACTATTACAAAAAAAATATTATATTTTATATTGTAACGAAAATGAGCACTCCTATTTTAAGAAGTAGAAATTTATTTTTTAGACCAGGCATGTCAAACTCAAAGTTTTAAGTGGGTCAAATATATTGAATAGCTTACTATGTGGGCAGCACATAAAAATTTAACGAAAAAAAAATTTTTTTTTATATTATTATATATGTATACATATAAAACCATCAATAAAACTTAGTCGATTACAGTTTATCAGAATATAAGACATAATAATGTATATCAAATATAACAATTTCTGAGAGTCTAAGGTAGTATGATATTAATATTTTATAATTTTTTTACTATAAAAATAAAAATAAAATCCCAATATTTTGTATATAGGAGATTTTGACATAAATTGTGTAATTCAATATAGAAATTTATATGTACTTGGAATTCATAATTTGTTTAGAACATAAAATTATGCATTTTGCATTCAAATATAAATTATTACTAGGTTTGTATTGAAATATTTATTTACTTAAGCAATATACATTTTGAATTTTTAAATTATTACTAGTAAATTATAAGCACCTACCCACAATGTAGTTATAATAATGATCTATTCAGAAAGGGTATCTGAATATTTCTTACTAAGTATTTATTTTTATTTTACCATTTATTTCCATGCATAATAAATATGATTATACATGTATATGATTTATTTAGTTTTAAAATTTCTTGTGTTCCTCAAGTTTATAATTGTCAGTTTTGTATGTTGTGTGTTTTTAATAATGATAGTTATACCTGTAGAATTTACAATAATTACAGATTAAATGTTTTGTATCCCTCGAAAATCAGATTATTAATATTTATTCATAAAAACATGACATTCTCAGAATTAGCAATGGTTTTCTATCATCAAGAATAATAGGAATACTTTTTCAAAAATATAGTTTTTGAGCTTTATTATCTCATACATTATTAAATTATATATCAATAAATGTAATAATTGTTTTATATTTATAGTCATATAAGTAATTTTAAGGGTTTGTGTATATTTAATTAAATTCCTGTTGACACTTGTGGCCCAATTTACTTTTGTTTTTTTTCAAATTTTAAGTTTAGTTAATGTCAAAATTACTTATACTCTTACTAATGAATACTTTTGAATTCTATTCTGAACTAAATTTAAATGTTTTCTGGCATTAATGATCATGGACAATGGTGCAACCAAACTATTATTTTTGGAAGTTATACATTTGAAAAAAGAGTTTATTTTGAAAGGTGTTCAGCGGGGGAAATGGGAAAAAAAATTAAGCTAATTACATATTTCAGTGCAATTATAATCCCCAACCTCCCATGCCTAGAGGTGCCACTGATCATATAACTTTTATTGTATTTTTATTTCACACCCCAAGACTATGATATTTTTTATGATCATCAAAAATTAAAATCTCAATGCATTCATATTTTTTAGTAACATCTGTTAACCTTCAGATAAATTTTCGTTCTATTCAAATTGTATTAAATAAAATTAGTATATCAAGTTTAGTAAATGTAAAATAAAATTATTAGTCCTTTAAAAGATTTGTACTTAAAATATCTGATTTGAATGTGATCACTATTAAAATAAAAATTTATCTCAAACAACTTATCTACTAAATACCATAGATATTATATTTTTTATAAAATGCATTTAATCAACTGCAAATTGTGATAAAAAATAAAAGATTAAAGCCTAATTGTGTTCTTTAAAGTTTAAATCATGTGTTTAAAAACATTTAGTAGTAGTTAAAATTTAGAAGTAAAAATAAATTAATAATTAAAAAAATTAACACAATTTCTTCATAAAATATTATAAATCAGTAATGTATTTTATTTCAATCTGCATTTAATAACATTTATAACTCAAAATTATTGGATAAGTAAAAGTATTATTTTATACAAATTAATATCACATGTGAAATTTATTCAGTACATACAAACATCTTGAAAATCAATACAATGTAAAAATAAACTTTGTTTTAATTAAAATAATGATATAAATTGACAAATAATAAATGATTGTTAATAATAATATAATTGCTAATTAAATTATTTATGGGCTAGAAATTTTAATTTTGGATACTTCATAAAGGTAAGCAGCCATAAGTTTAGTCTGAAAAAAAACATTGGTTATTTATTTATTTATTTTTTTTGTTTAAGTTCATATAAATACTTAATAAAAGGTTAAAATAAAATAAGCAGAAAAAAGATTATGTATTTCATACTAGTGTAAAAATTTAAAATATAAATAAAAAATAAAATATTTTAACTTTTTAATAATTGATATAGTATAATATATAATTTAATGTATGTTCTATAATATTGATCACTTAATATATATGTTTTTTAGGAATTTATGTAAATTTAAAATGTTATCATTATCATATATTTGACAACAATAATGATTGAAAAATATATTTAGTTATCATTTGAATAAATTACATTTCAGAGTTAACTTTTTTCAAAACTCAAAGTTAACTTTAAAATGCAATATAACAAAATAATAAATAATTCATTTAATAGTACTATTTTTAAATGAGATTTTATGATGGATAAAGCGTTGTAACAAACTGTCATAGTGTTTTAATTTAGCATTGTTAGACAATATTCGATACTGATAACTATGACTTTTAAACACAACTACATAAACAAATATAAATAAATAATATACAATTATATAAATGTAATTGTTAGGTAAGTTATTACATTAAATTATTAATTTAAAACATTAATATATGATATTTAACGTACTCCTTCAATGTAGTTTCGCACTTCAATTTTTTCATTTTGTGAGTGAGCTCCATCATCTCCAGAACCCATAGGCAATAGTAGAACATTTTTTCCAGTCACTTCCTTTACAAAATAATTAAAAAAACATTTATTTGTTATTACAATGAATAACTTCTTGTACTATAAATTCAGATGGTAAATATATATTTAAAAATATATAGAATAGTTTATAAATAACATACTTGTAAAGTCAAGGTAACAGGAATTGATCCACCACCTCTGGTATAATCTGGTTCAATATTATACACACTTTCTGTAGCTTTATGAGCTGCCAAATAATGAGGATTAAATGGATCTGTCATCCAAGGATTGCCACCATCTCCTTCCGTAATAATCTACACAGTTAAAATATTTAAAAAAAAAAAAAAAAAAAAAGAATAAAATGCTAAAATAAACTAAATCTTGAATATGAATTAATAAGTGATATAGAAAGTGAATTAATTAATAAGAAACACATTATTTTATCTTATAAAATATAATACATATATTAAGTGTAGATATAGTTTAAAAATGTATTTAAACTAAGTTTTTATAGTTGATAAATTATTTTGAATAATTACTTCTAACTTATTAGGACTTTGACGCTTCTCCCAAATACTCTTAATATAATCTTTTACTAATTTGGAAATTTTTAGTGGGTCTTGATTTGGTACCAATCGAATGGAAAACTTTCCTATTACCTTGCGAGGTATTACAGTCTTAAATCCAGGACCTGAGAATGCCCCTTCAATTCCATGGATCGATAAACTAGGATATCTCCAATTGTTCATCAATAATTGTTGCTAAAATAGAGCTTATTAAATATATTTATGTTATGGCTATAAAAAAAATTAAAAAATCAAACTTTTGTTTCTTGCAGTGGTTGAGACGCAGATATTTCATTAATGTATGCATCTACATCAAATTGTATTTTATCATACAATTCTTTTTCTTTATCACTTAATGGCTCTATATCTTCATTAATTCCAGGAATTAAAATGTTACCTTTCAAATCAACCAATTGATTAAGAATAAAGATTAAATCAGACATGGCTTCGTAACTAAAAAAAAATTATCATTGATATATATTATAAAAATTTTTTTTTTTAGTATATTAAATAATTTATATACTAACACAGTACCACCATACATGCCACTATGTAAATCTTTACTCGAACCTTCAATTTCTATACCAAAACAACACATACCACGGAGTCCATAGGTTAAACAAGGTTTTTCTGTCCCTAACCAATAACTATCAGATATACAAACATAGTCTACATCATTGAAAAATGTTTCTTTTTTCTTAATAAGTAATTGATCTAAACCTATGCTACCAGATTCTTCCATTCCTTCAAAAACAAACTAAAAACCAGAACAGAGATATTCAAATTATATATGATTTATATATATATAAATAATTGTATTTTTAACCTTTAAATTAACAGGCAGGTCTGTTCCGGTTTTTTGATAAGCTTCAATAGCATGCAACCATCCAAGAACGGGACCTTTATCATCTGTAGAACCTCTTCCATATAATTTACTATTTCTTTCAGTCAAGATAAAAGGTTCACTATCCCAACCGTCGGAAATATCTGCTGGTTGGACATCTAGATGACCATACAAACAAATTGTGTTCTTTTTAGGATTGTTCCCTAATGATCCAAGTAGAACTGGAGGAAGGGGTACAGTTTTACCACTTAATACCTAAAAAATTAATAGTTAATTAAAAATTAACCATACATATTATTTTTATGCATTATAAAGTAACTTTTAAAGCAAAATTAAATGAATAGAATAGGTACTTTACCTGTGAACCTATATCACAAAGTTCAGTAGTTGCTCCAAGTTCTATTAATTTTACTTGAGCCCATTGCATCATTTTAACAACGTCATTTCTTAAATCTGGATCAGCTGACACAGATTTAATTGAAACTGCTTGTGATAATGTTTCTATAAATTTTTTTTCATGTTCATCTACATAACTTTAAAGAAATTATATAATTTAGATTAAATATGATGATACAGTTATGGTTCATAAATGGGTAAATACATGATTTAGAACAATTAGAAATCAAAATATCTACTATAATACACTTAAATTTAAACATATTAACAGTGACAGACTAGGGGAGGGCAAGTAAATATGCTTTTCCCAGACGTAGTTGGTATTAGGGTGTTCTTAAATTTATGAAAAATTAAAGTCATGATCATATGCTGTACTTAAACTTACACCTATATAAGAGCAATGCATTTTTATTAACCTTAGGCGTCAAATTTCCTAGATCCGGCACTGTGTAGTATTTATAACTATTAGATGTATGTTATAATATTATACTGAACATAAAAATAAATATTTAATTAAATAGGTTAGGTTGATTTTAAAACTGAAATAAAATTTTTGGATATTAAAAATAATAATAAACACCTATTGCGTCTTAGACATGGAACAGTAACAAAATTAGGTATACTTTAATAAGGCATTCATGTTAAATCCATAAATTGACTCTTAGCCATAGCAAGATTATCTTTAAGAAAAAAATAAAAATAAAACAAAAAGACTTACCTGAATATTTTTACCAGTGGAGCTGGAAGAACTCTTTGATCTTTTGTCGCTTTCGACATTTCAATAAAATTGTCGTTTTCGGAAAATATGATATGTTCAACAGTCGTGAAACGAACACTGTGCGTTCACTAACGTATAGCTGTGCAACAAAACAAGATAAAGTTGAAGTCAATGATATCGGAAAAACAATAAATAATTGGGTAGACCTGATTGTTGATTCGTTAACGCTCAACTGCTAGTAATTACTGTCGTAATGCGGTCGCAACGTAGTAACGTACAGTTATTGTGGTAAAAATGTTTAATGTGGTACTTCAAGTCTTGCAGTAGTGCACTACTGTAGTCCTATACAAAACGTATACGATGCACCGTTTTGAGTGTGCCATGTTTGGAATTTATCGAATATGTGATAATTATGTAATAACAATTACTTTTTATAACGTATCTACGTCCGTTTGTTGTATTGCATAACGCAATTACAATTGTATTTTAATAAAATTATTATTATTATCAATGGTAAAAAAAGAGGGGAGCTTATAACGTCCGCTGAGCGTATGTTGAGAAAATGTTTCATATTTCTCAATGTTCGATTTTAATTTTTAATACATATACGAAAATGTTATCAATATATCTAGGCTTCTTAAGAATTTTCTATTTTAAAGCATCTGATAATTATAGGTATTTTTTTAAAAAATCTCATGAAATAATTGTAATAGATTTGTGTAGATTTTGAGCACAATTGATTTTAAATCGAAAAAGTGATTCCTAAAGAAGTCATTTTAATATAGAAATTTATGAATTCAACAATTTTTTTGAAATTCAGTAAATATATTTAATTTACTACTGTTTTTAGTATTTTTTATTGTTATACGGACAAGAATGTGTTTCCTTGTAAGAGATATATTGATATCTGCGTGCGCGTGCAAGATATGCACTTGACGGCGGTTGTCTGTCACGGCGTTACAGCGATTCTCGTAAACAATTAGCTGGTAAGGATTATTGAATATGGGTCACGATGCAGATAACTCAGCATCAGGAACACTATCATTAAATATTTCAAATTATCAACGCAAATCTTAGCAACAAATAAAAACATTGTGCAAAATACAACATTTATCTGCCCCTTGGCTGTGGTCTCCTTATATGAATTCACAACTATCTGGAAACACGGATAACACAGTTATACGTAATCTTTTTTCTGAGATAATATCTCAACAATACTCGCAACAGTACACCTAAATACACTGATACATCTAAAAAAATACAATAGAATGGGTTTACACAGTGGAAACTTATGCTATTTTTGAAGTACTAAAAATCGGTAGTGTTTAAATAAATAATATAGATACTTTTTTATTATTTAGGTAAACACGTGCACTGCACTTTTCGGTTCGTTCGATTATGTATATACACGAGCAATCATAAATGTCAACTATTTTGATCGATAAAAAAATTAAAATTAAAATATGTTTGAATTTCATCAATTATAAAATTTGATTGTCAGTCAGTATCAGTCATACATATACACAGTTAGTCATGAGTGTCAGTCACGTTGATTGTCATTTAAAACTGACCGGGGACGTTATGGCTTAGAGGATATCATCAGATCTTTTAAGATCGTGATATAATCATAGAGTAACTTCTATTAAATTTATCTTATTTGTGTATTTATCACGTATCTCTTAATTCGTGGAATTTATCAAGTATAAATATTTAATTCTTATCATTCAACAGTATAATTTCTATAACCACAGAGGTTGATATACTCAGGTTAGTATACCATGGTTTTCGAACATACTATATCCATAGACTTATAAATTACATATAATAAATTAATAAAATAATTAATTGTAATTAGTTTATAAGGCTATGACTCTATCACGGGTATATGAATTAAGTCTTCATATTTATTATAACTATTTTAAGATTTTGTCAATATTAATGTTCTCTTTGATATTTTTGAATTGTTCTCAACGCTGTATGTTCTTGATGAATTTGGCAACTTAGCAAATGATAATCAAATTTTGAGAGTCATTATATTGTTGTATTCGTCTTGACTGTGAGTTGTATTTGTTGTACATGTTCGTTTTGTATACTTATTAACTCATATATTTATTTTGTTTTTAGTTTTATATGTGTTTGAATATTAAGAATTGAATATTGTTTAAGTATTAACAATGGTAAGTTGATTAATAATTGTTATAATCACAAATTAAAAAAATTATTATAAACTGAATAGTCAGTTTGGTTTATAGTTTGATTGTTGTTCATATTGTGTATTTATTCAAATAAATTTTAGGGTCAAAGTCATTCAGGTGGAGGAGGAGCTGGTGGTGAAAAAAAAGATGACAAGGACAAGAAGAAGAAGTACGAACCACCAATACCTACCAGAGTAGGCAAGAAAAGGAGGCGTGCAAAGGGTCCAGATACAGCTACAAAACTTCCATTAAGTGAGTATTTTTAATCTCTATTACAACTTTGTATTAATTTAATTTCTTCTGCAGTTACTCCACACACGAGATGTCGTTTGAAGTTATTAAAATTAGAGCGTGTCAAGGATTATTTATTGATGGAAGAAGAATTCATTCAGAACCAAGAAAGACTCAAGCCCCAAGAAGAAAGGAATGAAGTAATCATAAATTGAAATAATATAATTTAAATTTTGACTTATTTGGCAGACAAATATCATGTTTATTATGATATTTAACTAGGTAGTGTAAAAAATCATTTTTATCGAAGCAGTATAATAAATAAATTAGTGGAAAAATGAAATGCAAATTGCACATATTAATTAATTTAATTAAGTAAAATTTATTTTAATTTTATAGAGCATTTATTCAGATTTTATTATAATTTTGAATTTCATAAATTACATAAATATATATATAGTACATGATATAGAGCAAAAGTAGTCCAAATTTTTTGGCTGCGATCTAATACAAATGTACTGCATTTTTAAGGATCCTCTTTCATAAAAAAGTTATTTTTTATTATTAAGTATCCATCATTTTTGTGTAATCTAAAAATAAATTCTAAAACGATTGACTTTGAAATTGTTTATGATTTGACTCTTTGGCTGTCCCTGATATAGAGCGTAATATAAAATAATAATCTGAAAATTATTTGAAAATATCAGCAAATTCTAAGATATTAATAATTGATAAGTAGAGAACGGATCTTTAGGTTTTTACATATTTTTATTGGCTTTATGCAGATTTACAAGGATAAAAAATGTGGACGATTTATCCATCATAGAGTTTGTAAGAAAACATTTATTTAGCATATTTTAGCATATTTTGGACATAAGAAAATATTTGGCCTATTTTTCATATTCTTGAATACATTCAATTATTGATCATAAAAAATATATTTTATTAATTTCTCGAGTTGTGATTTTTCTAGGAAAAAAAATTTAATTGTTATATTTATATTCCTATGTCCATACATGTGATAACTGTTATCCATTTTTTTCATTTAAATAATTTATCTATTACCAAGGAATGGTACATACAAGTTGTTCATGTTTTTATTTAACTATTTTGTTTTTTATATATAATTTTATTATATTTATACTCCTATGTATGAACTGTTTTAAATTTTTATATTTAAATAATTTACCTATTACCAAAGAAATGCCCCATAACAGTAATTTAAAGTTTTAATTTAACTATTTAAGAAAAAAAATTCATATTATCGCATATTTACAAGTTTAAGGAATATTTAGAGAATATCTTAGAGTTTTTTTAGGGCATATTAGCATCATTTTAAGCTTTTAAGAACCTAAAAATCCGTTCTTTATTGATAAGACAAAATAATAAAAAAAGAACATATTATCGAAATGAAAATAAGAATGTGATAATGCTTTTAAATTTGTTAGTTGATATGGAAGTATTATTTAATGATACGATTGGTGGTGAATAGAAGGCTGATGTTTCTACATTGCACGCAGTTGACTAACCGAGAAGTAATAGAGAGATGTTTTATTTCTGGTTTATTTGAGATAACAGCGAGCTTTTTATAAATCTGACACCCTTTTCTAGATAATATTTGAGCCCCTATATAAATAGTGCACTTAGTTTGATGTGAGATGTTTGGAATACTCAACTGAAGAGTGTTTTTAGCCACATTTTACGCAGCATTTATATTGGTTTTTATATTATTGATAGTTGCGATATGTCAATGGGCCCTATCTGTTGTAGGTTTCTCAATGATTATATTTGTATTTAGTAATAATGTTATACTATAGATATTGTTAGTATTATTTTGAACTACAAGGTATACAAAAAATAACAGAAAGGGAAAATTATTTATTTAAAATTTTACATGTGTTTTACTGAATGACTTGATTTAAACAGGGCTCAGGATATTTGAACACTTAATGGAGAATAATGTACATTTTTTATCAGAATCCTGTTTGGACAATGGTATCAGGGAAGGAAATAATGGAAACTGGCATTAGTTTTTTCAAAAATGAGTCAGAATTACGTTATTATTGATCAAATCTGTAGGTCTTACTATAATTTATGAAGACCTAGACTAATAATTAAATTTGTTAAGAGTAATGATTTTTATTATTTATTAAAGGCAGAGAGATTATATACATACATATATATTTTTTTTCATTTTGATGTGGTGTAAGCTAGAACGGACACGTTTGTAATATATCGGATCATGATGCAAACCAAAACTATTTTGCTAACATAAAATTATCAAAATAATGTGAATTATCTACTGTTTATTAACATAGTTTTGAGCTAATGATGATAATGGAGTGAATGCTACAAGCGTGTATTAATGTATATGTACATAAGATATATTTTAATATTAAATGCTAAAAAGATAATAATTTGTTTTTGAACTTCATCATTAAAAAATTAAGTATTAAGTACAAGAAAATTAATGCAATAATCATTAGATAATAATTTATTTAAAATACTTAACTGCTTAACTATTAATTCCTACATCAAATTAATTAAATTAAAGTAACAACACTTTTTAGTTAAAAATTATATTTGATAAAACAATCATTATTTAAT